CCTTTTCGGGGGGGGGGTGTGTGTGTGTGTGTATGAAGGTTCCCCTCTCTCTGGTGGGCACTCCTCAGGGCTGGGGGAACCCTGGAGCCCTGCGTGGGGTTGAGGGGGGTGATTGGAGCACAGTGTGGGCCTGGGACAGCCCCTCCCCGGGTCATTGCAGGGGGCTGGGAGCCCCCAGGGCATTGTTCGTGGCCAGACCCTCCCCCGTGGCATTTCCCTGGATGAAACACCCCCCCGGGGCATTATACTGGGCCGAACACCCCCGGGGCATCGCAGGGGACCAGGGCCGCCCCCCCGGGGATATCGCATGGGGCCTGGGACAGCTTGACCCCCCCTCCCGGAGCATCACACGGGGCCAAACACCCCCCAAGGAAATCGTACAGAACCGGGAACAACCCCCCCTTCCCGGGTGTCGCACGGGGACGGGGACACTCCCCCCGAGGGACATCGCAGAGGGTCGAAGACCTCTCCCGGGGTACCGGGAGAGCACCTCTACCGGGTACCTCTCCCGAGCATTGCACGGAGCTGTCCCTCCACCGGGACCAGGACATCCCGCACCCCCCCACGGGGTACCACACGGGGCTATACCCCCTCCCGGGGTACCGCAGGTCCTGGGACCCGCCGCCACTTCCCGCCCGCCGCCGGCGGCAAGTGCGCGGGGTGGGCGGGGCTGCCCGTCCCGCCAGGGGCGGGGCGTGGGTGGGAGGAACGCTCTAGATTTGCATACCGCCGCCGCCCCGAGCCAGTGAGAAGGCGCAGCGGGCTCCCTCGCAGAGACGGGCGGGCGTAGAGACCAATGGGAGACGGGCGAAGGGGCGGGGCGGCGGTGGAGACTCGGGGCCGGCGCGGGCGCGCGGTGCCACTCGGCGCGCGGGGCGGCAGCGGCGGCAGGTTGGTTCCTGTGCGGGTCCCTCTGTGGGGCTGGGGGGGCCCTGGGGATCCCCTCCATGGGGCTGGGAGATGCTGGGGGACCCTGCGTGGGGCCGGGGCGAGCCCTGCGTGGGGCTGGGGGTGGCTGTGTGGGCGCTGCGTGGGTCTAAGGGGAGGGTCTCGGGGGTGCCCCGCGTGGGGCTGGGGGGCTGCGGTGCCGCCGGTGGGGCTGCGTGGAGGTCTGTGTGGGGTTGGGAGGGTGTCTGTGTGGGGCTGG